TGTAGCCTTCAGACTTGGCCCGCCAGTGTGAGTTAAATCTCATACCCATGGGAGGGCCTGTTGTCAGTCTTGCCACAGCTGACTGACAGTATAGTGTGACTGTCTTTCCTCTAGGATGTGTGGAACAGCGTAGCGCTGGATTAGGATGAGGGACCCGTGCTGTTTTCTGTGGCTCTGCCTCGTGGGTCATGTGGGCCAGCTGCAACCTGTATGTTCCGGCATGTTCCTGCATGGTTGGGTCCAGAAACAGAGGAGCTCTTGTAGCCAGGCACTGTGTACTAATGCAGTTGACCTTGTGTCTTTGGGCCCCACTCTAGGGATCATAAACGTCACATGGGCTGGCAGCCAGGAGCTAGGACTAGCATGTCTGCTCCCGTCCTTGTAGGAGCATAGGACCTGGGACAGGGCCAGATCTGCGCCCTGATTTCAGCTACAATGCTTGCCAGTTTTAGAGAACACAGTTTATAGGAGAGTTTTAGTTTTTCAGTCCTGGGGGTTGAACCCAGGCCTTCACACTGAGAATTGCTAATCTTGAGACAGCCTGGCTAAGTTGCTCCCGCCGGGCTTGAATTTACAGCCCTCCTGCCTCAGTCTCCCAGAGTGCTGGCATTGCAGACGTGTACCGTCACACCCTGCTTCCTTACTTTAATTTAGTTTTAGGGCACCTATACGTGAGACAAAACGGGTTATTTTTAACTTACTGAGTAAGACTGGTCCATTTGCTCCACCAGATGATCTACACTGCTGTCCATTTTCCTGCAAGGACAGGAGCTGTCTGACTGAACAGTATGCCCTCGTGTGTGTGTGTGTGTGTGTGTGTGTGTGTGTGTGTGTGTGTGTGTCTGTCCCACGTTTTCCTCGCCCATTTGTCTGTTGGTGAGCACGGAGACTGTTTGCACAGTTTAGCTATTGTGAGTTGTGCTGCTATAAAAACGCACGGGTATGGAGGCATCACCATAGCAGCTGCCTTTAACCCTTTTGGATCAGATGGGTGCTCTAGTGTAAGTTTGTGAGGACTCTCCATACTGATTTCCACAGGGGATTTACCTTTCCACCAGAGTGTGGAAAGACTCTCTCTCTTCCATTCCTGCCAGCATATTTTGTTCTTTTCTTCCCTCCCTCCTTTTTTCCTCCTTTCCTTCCTTCCTTCCTTCCTTCCTTCCTTCCTTCCTTCCTTCCTTCCTTCCTTCTTTCCTTCTTTCCTTCTTTCCTTCCTTCTAGGCTGCCTTGAACTGGTGGTAGGTGATAGCTCTGCCTCAGTCTCACGGAGTCCTGGGGTTGGGGGTTGTGGTGGCTTCTCTTGTGTGCTTGATGACAGCCTCTCTGGGCTGTGAGAGGAAATTTCCTGTACTTCTGATTTGCATTTCCCTGATAGCTGCTGGAGCCCAATCGGGAGGCCTGTGCCAATACCTATGCTTGGAGAGTGTTTCCCAGTACTCTCGGCTAGCAGTTTCCACTTCAAGTCCTAGCCTTACTTCTGTGCTTCCTTTTGATTTGATTTTAGCACAGGAAGGGTGGAGCTCTCTTCAGACTTCTGCATGTCAGTATCCAGTTTTCCAGCACTGCTTGTTGAAGAGTCTGTTCTCCAGTGTGCACATTTGGCTCCTTTGTCAGTAATCAGATGGTGGTGGGTACTTGCTTTCGTTTTGTGCCGAGGCTATTCTGTTTTTATCACTCTAGCTTTCTAGTATAATTTGAGATCCTGTGTTTTTGGTGGCTCCAGTCTTGTGTTTTTGTTGCTGCTGTTGTTGTTTGTCTTGTCTTGTTTTGTTTTGTTTTTGTCTTTTTGGGGCAGGGTCTTACTGTGCAGTTCAGGCTGGCCTTGAGCTCACTTTGTAGCTCAGCGATCCTCCTGCCTTAGCCTCTGAGTGCTGGGATTACACGCATGCGCCACTACACCCAGCTAATGTCTTGTTTTTTGAGACAGGGTCTTGCGAGGTAGCCCAGGCTGGCCTCGAATTCATGGGAATCTTCCTGCTGAAGCCTTGTGAGCACCGCACGTGCCACCACACCTGACAGTTTTGCTCTTTTTGCTTAGGATTTCTCTAGCTACTCTAGGTCTTTCGTATTTCCTTATGGTTTTTTGTTTATTTGTTTGGCTTTTTGAGGCAGGTTTTCCACTATGTAGCTTAGGGTGGTCTTGAACTCACTGTGTAGCCCAGGCTAGTCTCAAACTCTCAGCGACCCTCCTGCCTCAGCCTCCCGAGTGCTGGGATTAAGGTATGCACCATCTTGTCTAGCTTTGTTACCATGTGAATTTTAGAATTTTTTTCCTACTTCTGTGAAGAATGGTGTTGGTATTTTTATAAGAAGTGCATTGAATCTGTAGATTGCTTTTGGTAATAGGGTAGTTTATACAATATTAATTCTGGCCAGGGCTGGTGGCACATACCTGTAATCCCAGCACTTGGGAGGCTGAAGCAGGAGGATTTCTATGAATTTGAGGCCAGCCTGGGCTACATAGTAAGTTCAAGATCAGCTTGAACTATATAGCAAGACCCTGCCTCAAAAAACAAAACAGTATTAATTCTGATTCATGAACAAAAGAAGTCTTTACATTTCCTAATGTCTTCAGTTACTTTTGTCAGTCAGTATATTATAATTATCTTTATAGAAGTCTTTCACCTTTTTGGTTAGGTTGACTCCTAGATTGCTTTTTAAAGCTATTGTGAATGGGATTGTTTCCCTGGACTCTCTCAGCAGGCTCAATCTTGGTGTATTAGGAAGCCTAGTGATTTGTATATGTTGATTTTGTATCCTGCCCTTGGTTGATTTGCTTAGCAGACCTAAAATGGTTCTGGTGGGTCCTAGGGTCTCTGTGTAAACATCATTTCACCTGCTAATTGGGATGCTTTGACTTCTTCCTGTCCTATTTGTTCTGCTCTTTTTTCTCTTGCCTGAATGGGCTGTTTACAGTTTAGGCACAGAGATGGTCAGGAGTAGTGGTGTGACTGGCTGTCCTCTCCTTCCTGATTTTATAGGAAATGCTTTCAGGTCAGTGTTATTTTGTTTTGTTTTGGTACCAGAGATCTAACTCATGACCTCTCACTTACTGAGCTAAATCCCTAGCCCCATGTTACTTTGTCTTTTTGTAACAGCTTTATTAATCACACAATGGCAACTGTAGGTGCGCTTGTTTAAAGAGTACAAGTTCAGTGGCTGTCAGTAGATGCAGACTGCACCATCACCACTGCCAACTTGAGACCACATTCATTCCATTTTCAACCAGGGGAGACACCTTAGTTGTTACCTGTTGTGGCAATGGCTCATGTGCTCACTATGGATTTGCCATTCCAGACATTTCATATAAATGGAATCATATAATACATGGACCTCTGTGACTGACTTCTTTTATGTAGCCTACTTTTTTCAAGGTTCACCTGGGTTATGGCATGTGTCAATACTTAGTTTTCTTTTATTTTTATTACCTTTTTTTGAGACAGAGACTCCCTGGGTGCCCAGGTTAAACTTACCGGTTGGCATGATCCTCCTTGTGCTCAGCCTCCTGGGTGCTGAGACTGTCAGGATGCACTCCCGTGCCCAGCAGCAGCACACCATTTCTTTCTGTCACTAAATAATGTTTCCTATGGATGCATCTCACTATATTCATTCATCTGTGGATAGATATCTGGGTTGTTTTCATTTTTGAATACTGTGAATGTTGCTGTGAGCATTCAAGTGCAAATTTTTGTGTGGGCATGTGTTTTATTTCTCTTGGAGTTCAATGAGGGTCATACAATAGTCGTTTTTAACAATTTATGGAACTGCCGCTATCTGAACTTTCCAGGCACTGAAATAAATCTCATATAAAATTTCATCCTATGATATTTCAGTGTATATCCATAAGAGACGGGAACTTCTTTTTTCTTTGTTTGTTTGTCTGCTTGTTTGTTTTGAGACAGGGTCTCACTATGTAGCCCAGGCTGGCCTCAAATTCACAGTAATTATCCTGCCTCAACCTCCCAAATGCTAGGATCTTAGGTGTGGGCCACCAAGCCTGGCAGGAATTTCTTTTCTAAACATACCCATAACACAGTAATAGTGTGAAGTAACAGTATTTTCTTAGTACCATGTAACCAGATTTCAGTCATTGCTCACATTTGTAATTGTCTCCTAAATGCTATTTGTTTGAGTGAAGTTCCAAGGAAGGTACACACATTGTATAACTGATACATTTTTAAAGTCATTTAGTCTAGTAAATTTCACATCTGTACCTCTTTCCCTCTCATTTTTTTTCTTGCATTGTAAATTATATTTTGGAATAAGGTGCTTAATCTTGTAGCATTCCTACAGCCTGGATTTTGCTGGCTCCATCCCACGAGTGTTATTGAGCATGTCCCATTTCTTCCCAGACTGAAAGGACTGTAAAGGAATTATACCACGCTCCTAGAGCAGGACACAGATGTGTCATCTGCATACTCACCTGTCCAATGACCTTGACGTCCGAGGGCTTGCCTGCCGTCAGCTGGCCTCCACGGGAAAGTCCCCAGGAGGCCAGCACAGCATCCTGGAGTCCCTGCCTGCCCTAGAGACTGTCCATGTGGCAGGGAGGGACCACCTGCTGGCCCTGGGATTCTCCCTGAGATGAGTCTGACTGGACGCCTGCAGGTGCAGTGGATGGAGGCTGTTGAAAAGTGGGGAGTCTAAGTGAGGCTTCTGTCTGGTACCCAGTGAATTTGGGAAGCAGTTGCTACCCAGTCCTAAATTGTTGTTGACTGGCTTTTGATGGGCATGTGCGAAACAGTGGAGGACCCATGTGTGGGGGAGGTTTGTAGAAAACAAGCTGAAACACTGTTGGTCTTTTCAGGAGTCCTAGAAACCAGTGTTCAACATGTTCCCCACAGTCTCCCAATACAAGGGTCCTGGTCATCCCAGGAAGGTCCCTAGACAGGCCTTTGGGCTGATCTCCTAGTTCCCCTGTCATCTGACTATTTTCATTAAGGCAAAGTAGCCCTACGTCCATGCTGAGTTTGGTGTCTGACACTTCGCCCACCTTTCAGGTGCTGGAGTCAACAAAACCTCCAAGGGCAGAAGTCTCATCGGGAAGAACCATGAACGCCTCCCGGTCACCAAAAAAGGCGTCACAGTGGCTCCAGGCTTTGCAGTGAACGAGGTCTCCGCGTCCATTCTCACTGGGAAGCTGACTACCGTCTTCCTCCCGGCCGTCTACATCATCGTCTTTGTGGTGGGGTTGCCTAGCAATGGCATGGCACTCTGGGTCTTTCTCTTCCGGACGAAGAAGAAGCACCCGGCTGTGATCTACATGGCCAACCTGGCCTTGGCGGATCTCCTGTCGGTCATCTGGTTCCCCCTGAAGATCTCTTACCACATACATGGCAACAACTGGCTCTTCGGGGACACCCTCTGCAAGGTACTCATCGGCTTCTTCTATGGCAACATGTACTGCTCCATCCTCTTCATGACCTGCCTCAGCGTGCAGCGCTACTGGGTCATCGTGAACCCCATGGCGCACCCCAAGAAGAAGGCCAACATTGCCATCGGGGTCTCGGTGGGGATCTGGCTGCTGATCCTGGTGGTCACCATCCCTCTGTACATCACGAAGCAGACCCTCTATATCCCGGCCCTCAACATCACCACTTGTCACGACGTACTGCCCGAGGAGGTGCTGGTGGGGGACATGTTCAGCTACTTCCTCTCCTTGGCCATCGGAGTCTTTCTGTTCCCAGCCCTCCTCACGGCGTCGTCCTATGTGCTCATGATCCGAGCGCTCCGGTCCTCGGCCATGGATGAGCACTCAGTGAGGAAGAGGCGCAGGGCCGTCAAGCTGATCATCACCGTCCTGGCCACGTACCTCATCTGCTTCACACCTAGTAACCTACTCCTCGTGGTGCATTACTTCCTGATCAAGAGCCGTGGCCAGAGCCATGTCTACGCCCTGTACATCACCGCCCTCTGCCTGTCCACTCTCAACAGCTGCATTGACCCCTTCATCTACTACTTCGTCTCTCAGGACTTCAGGGACCATGCCAAGAATACCATCCTCTGTCGCAGCGTCCGCACGGTAAAGCGGATTCAGGTCTCCCACACCTCCACCAAGTCCTCCCGGAAGTCCAGCTCTTACTCCTCAAGCTCCACCAGCGTGAAAGCCTCCTACTGAGCCTCCCTGCCCCGAGGGCAGAAGCTCCAGCTGGGGTGCAGTGGCTCCTGTGGAGGGGCTGGTGTTCCAGGACTGTGGGAGTAGACGACTCCCCTAGAACCCAGGATGCAGCGTCAGAAGCCAGTATTCGGATGGCCCAGAAACTGATCTGACCAAAGCAGACTTTTTAGATTGTGGAGAAAAGATAGAAACCTGTGGTGCAGAAACTATGCCTAGTTTCTAACTATAAGTGATTGTTCTCATCTCACGTCTGATAGCCGCAGTGTGGGGCTCCCAGGGAGCCTCAGTCTAATGGACCAATTTTCCAGATGGAAAACAAGCTGGGCCCATGGCAGGGAGCTGTGAGCGGTGCTCTCGGGGTGAATGAGAGACTCCAGCTCCCCACTGCAATGGGTGACGCTGCGCTGTGCATGGAGGGCATCTCCAAGGCCATGTGTGGTTCACGCCCACTCGAGGCAGAGGACCTTTGCCCGAGAGCTTTTCACTTGACAGAGTAACCTTGGCTTCTGAAGACAAGAGCCGGAAAGAGTGTTTTATTCTTTTCCTGTTCTGCTCGGAATGAAATTCATTGTTGATGTACTAGGACTTTCGGTTATTTCTTTGTTATCTCCTTATGGTTCCATATGTATTATCATGCCGGGAAAGTACAAAGTGGATCTTAAACATGGAAATCAACTTTACTGTAGGATCTTACTGACTGCAGCCCAAGGAGAACATTTACCACTTAGTGTTTTTCAGAGTTATGATTGGCGTATTTATTGTCCAGTTTTGTTCACTTGTCAAATAAGAAATTTGACCACTAGAACCACTTCTGTTGGAAAACAGCGTGAATGTTTGAGGCTTGTGACATATTTAAAAGGGACTTGACTGCAAAGTGACTGTGCACCTGTTGTATTATGATTTTTAAAAACTTTTATTGTATGGTTGATTTATAAATAATACATTGTTTTTTATAATTTATATCTGAGCTGTGTGTTTTGTTTGAAAAATGAAGTGGGAGAAGATGCAGCTGCCTTGCTCTTCTAAAAAGTGTGATTCTCATCCCTTCTTCATTGCTGGGATCAAACGCAGAGTCTTACAGCATTCACAACATATGCTTTATGTTAAAAAATTATCATACAACACCCGGCATGGCAGCCCACGCCTGTAATCTCAGCACTCAGGAGGATGAGGCCGGAGGATTGCTGTGAGTTTAAGGCCAGCCTGGGCTACAGATAGGGAGTTCAGGGCCAGCCTGAAACTGCATAGTGAAACTGTCTCAAAAAGACAAAAATCAATAACATTACTGTACATAATGCTGGGCAGCAGCTTTTTCCATTTAGGTTATGTTTTAGCTCCCAGCACTCTGGGAGGCTGAGGCAGGAGTACCGTGGGAAGCCCAGCCTGGGCAGTTTAGTGACTTAATGAGACCCAGGCTCAAAGTGAAAAAATTAAAAAGCAGCCTGAGGATGTAGCTGGGGGTGGGAGGGGGGGCTAGGTTTAATCCCTCTATGTATTTGGTCATTGCTCGACTTGATGGCTCCTTAAATTGTTCCCACCTTTTCTTTCTTTTTTTCTTTTATTCTTTGGAAATATTGGGGATTAGGCCTAGGGGAACACTGAGAAACATTCCAAGAAGCTCCCTCCCCTTCAATTTATTTTGCTTATTTGCTATTTTTTGTTTATTTTGTGGTAATGCAGATATATATATATATATATATATATATATATATATATATATATCTTTTAAGGTTTTTTTTCTGAGACAAGGTCTCACTATATAGTTTATACTGGCCTTGAACTCAGTATTTCTCCTGTCTCATCCTCTCAAGTACTGGAATTACAAGTGTGTACTACCAATGCCCAGTTTTTAAATTTTAATAGTTACTGTACTGAAGATTGAATTGAGGGAGGGCCTTTGCACTGAGCTCTATCCCCAACTCTTTTTAAATTCTTTTTGTTTCTTTTTTTTTTTTTTTTTTAATACCAGGGTCAAACTCATGACATACTTGCCAGGCAGGCTCTATGCCACTAAATTGGCGTCTATATCCCCAGTCCTCTTTTCCTTCCTTTCTTTCTTCGGTTCTTCATTTCTTTCTTTTTTTGAGACAAGGTCTAAGTTACTAAATTGTCCAGGCTGGGCTTAAATTTGTGATCCTCCTGCCTCAGCCTCCCAGATTGCAGAGGAATTACATGCATACACTGTATATGTATGTATAGATGTTTGTGAGGACCTTTTTGGAGGACGTTTCTGGAAATGGAGAGGTCAGGTCAAAAGTCAGATGAATTTTATGGCTGGGGTTCAGCCCTGAGGTAGAGCACCCCTCAGACACAGACCAGGCCTTGATTGAGTCTCTCACAGTAAAGAGAGCTTGGGGTTGGTATCATGTTTATATTTGGAGTAACTTTTGCCAAATTGTGTGACACCAAAACGATACATTAACACCTAACTCCTGAAATGTTTGTTCACACTTGATGCCATTAATGTTTTGAAAACATTGTTCCTGGTACTGGAGATTGAATCATCCAGGCAAGCACTATGCCGAGCTGTCCCCCTTTGTAGTTTTATTTTCAGACAAGGTGTTGCTAAGTTTCCTAGGCTGGCCTTGAATGTGTGACCCTCCTGCCTCAGTCTCCCAATTCCTATGGATCCAGGCATGTACCACTGTCATGAAATCTGAAATTTGGCTAATGTGACTAGCCTGAAATTGCATTGTTTCAAGCTGAAAGTGGCTGAATATGCCTGACTGTGATCCCAGCACCATGGGAGACCATGTCTCAAAAAGGGGCTGGGGATGTGGCTCACTGTGAAGGCCCGAGGTTCAACCCTGCTAGAAATAGCACCTGCTTTGACTTGCACCAGGGAAGCTGCACCACCTTTTCTTAGGAGGAGGTGACCAGGGTCAGATGCTGGGCATGTTCATGGCTCTCACAGGCATCAGGAGTAAGCGGGATTTGATTACAACTCCTCTCCCCAAAGATTTGCCTCCCACAGTTTCGCCTCCCACAGTTTTATTGACAGAAGCCAAACTGCTGCACCATTCTGCTCCACAGGAAACATTCTTATAGTTCTGTCATCTCTCTGTCATCTATCATCTATCTATCTGTCATCCCGCTGTCTGTGGTCTGTCACCTACCTACCCATCTATCATTTATCTATCATCTGTCATCTGTCATTTGCATTTGTAGAGTCTGAGCCCAGGGACTATGCTCTCCTGGCAAGGCTTCCACCACTGTGCTTCACCTCCCACATCAGTTTTTGGAGGGCTGAGCTGGACAGGACTGCTATTGGACCCAGCGCCTTCACACTGGGCTACATCTCCAGTCATTTAACATAAAATAAACACCATTATTGCATGAGCTGAGCCAGGAGGGAGGAAGACTCATTTGCTTTATTGGGTCTCAGTTTTCCCCAGGCAGAACTTGGGCTCCTTGTCGTCCAGCACTCCATCTTCTCCACCTCACAGGCCTCACCTCAAGGCAGCGTGTCACCTGCCCCACTGCACAGCTCCTCCAGAAAACGTGGTTGTTTTCTTTCCTCCTACTTTCTTTTACTAAGTTGTCCAGCCTCAGGTAGAATTTGCAGCCCTCCTGCCTCAGCCTCCCAAGTGCTAGGATTGCAGGTGTGTGCTCTCAGCCAGCTAGAAAGCCCTCCTTGTATAAAAGTAAGGGCAGATTGTGGTCTTGGCTTCCAGGGCCCGAATGCTAAGCTGACTCAGTGGCAGGTGTCTTGTTTTGTTTGTTTTCTGGGTATTTCTTTGTGTGCTACTGCAGTTCTTTACAGCAGGAGTTTCAAGCCTGTAATTAATTTCCTGGTTATCAAGATTTCCCAGATCCTGGGGCTTTAATGTCATCAGTATGCATAGTTTAGTGATTATGGTTTCCTTTCTGAGCCTTTAGGCCTTTGAAGGCACTCATTACAGAACTGGGCTGAGATTGGACCTCATCCCAAAGGGAGGGAGCAGGGGGCAGGTAGGTGCCCAGGCAGAGCCACGAGGCCAATCCCTTCCAGTCCTCCTACCCTGAAACTTGGCAGGGAGTGTTACACTGGCTTGTGAATATTGGGAGCCAGGAAACGCTTGGGGGGATGTTTGAGCCCTCTTGCCTCAGCAGGTCCACTCCTCCCAGCATGAGCAAGTGCCTCCCGCCTCTGCACACAAGTGAGAGGTGCAGCAGGAACCAGAGCTCTGTGTCGCCTGCTCCCAAAGAAACCCAGCCTGTGAGCCTGTGGGCAGTTCCAGCTAACAAGTGGCTGCCAGCAGCTCCTGGCCTGGAAGCGGTTCCTCCACCCATTGCACAACCACCCGCTGCATGATGAATGCCAATAACTGAATTGGTTCCTGCCTGAGCATCGAGCAGCGACTCCTCCTGGGGCTGATGTCAGTGAAGCACACCGATGATAAAAACAGCAGAGAAACGCAACCTTCTGGTACAGAGTTGGTGAGCCGGTGGCTCACATGCCTCAGTGAGCTGCCCGTCATCACTGAATGCTCTGAAAGGCTCGCTTAGCGCTGCTCCAGTATTTGGGCCCCTTACAACCTCCAAAACATTGCTTATTTCCAACGCTAGGTCTAGAGAATGACAGAAATAAAAAAAGGCATGAAAGATGAGGACTCCACAGGGTCCCTAGGGTGGCTGCTCTCCCTAATCTGGCTTCTTACACTTTTCAGTACTGAGGCTTTGGACCCAGAGCTTCCTGCATAGGAGGCAAGTGCTGTGCCATCAAGCTACCTCCATTGTCCTGAATCGCTGACCCCTAATAAAACTGTAAAAGTAACAAAAGGTGCACGTGAAAAAAATCTCAATACTCTTAAGAACATACTGTACTGTGAAAAATGAATCTGGCTCCTCTTTGTGCCCATATCGAAGCCCAGAGAGTCTGTCCCCTGAAATGTAATGTCTCCTGTGCGTGTGTAACTGTGTTTTTTTTTTTTTTTTAAATTGGTACCGGGGATTGAACTCATGACCGCCTTCTTGCAAGGTAGGTGCTTATGCCACTGAGCTAAATCCCCAGCCCCTGTAACTGTGTTTTCTAAATGTAAGAGTGAGGAGTTAAACTATGTACTAACTAGTTACATAATTTACACATAAATTACCTTGGATGTAGAGGCTTAACTCATATTAAACATTTACTAGCCTGGCTTGAGCACTCATGAATTCAGGAATGGTGAGCAGCTTCTGGTGCAGATCTCATGAGATGGCCGGGCCCAGGGCAAGGTGGCTTGCACATGGGCTGCCCAGTGCTGGAAATTGGCAGTGGGCCTCAGTTTCTCTGCATGGGGGTCTCTCACAGGCTGCTCAGAGATGAAGGCTGTCTTTCTCCAGTCGAGGAACCTGGGGAACTGGGCGAGCTGTATGCCTGGTGAGATTACACACTAACTGACCTCCACCATGCTCTGTGGTCACATAGACCAGTGCCGCTTTCTGCTTCAGTTTGGCAAGGGGCCACATAAGGGCACAGAGAGCAGTAAGAGAGGATCATGGGACCATGTTGGAGACTGAATGCACACTGTGTCTATGAACATATCTTGGACATTATTACTGTATCAGCATTTATTGATTAATCTGTGATTGACTGATTGATTGTAATGGGGGTTGAACCCAGGGCCTTCACACTGAGCTATATCCCCAGCCACTCTTTATTTTGCTAAATCACTAAATTTCCCAGACTGGGCTCAGAGTTGCAAACTTCTTGCCTCAGTCTCCCAGAGTAATGCATTGTAGGCATGTGCCACCATGCCTAGTGAACTTCATTATTTGAAATAGCTATATCCATTTGTCTTACTTACTTCCTCATTACTGAGACACAATGCCCCACAACCACAAGTTAAAGAGGAAAGATTTATTTCAGCTCACAGTTTGTAGAGGCTTCAGTCCATGGTTGACTGACCCCAAGGCAAGAGGAGAAACAATCCATGGCAGGCAAGCAAAAGGCAACCAGCAGCAATCTTCCCTTTCCCTTTGTATTCAGTCCTGGCTGT